GAACACAGAGAAAGAATATTCAACCGGAGTTAATACGTGGGTCAAAAAATATCAAGCCCTTTATTTTATTCTCTGATCAATTACGTGCCTTTTTATTCACAGACATTGTTTTAAAAAACTAGACTTCCTAGCAAGATGATAGATAATTTTATTGAAGACTTTTTGATTATATATATAGAAAAGCAAGTTACTTAAAACTTTAGCATAGATTTAATAAAAAATAAATTCCGTGATAAAAAAGAACATTGAGTATCACTATGACAAAATAATGAGCGACTTTTGTTAGTGGTGTCAAACGTGCGGGGTTGAGTCATTTCGTGTCGTATTGATTTTGAGTTGGTCTCAAAACTCAAAATTGATATGTTTAATAATTGTATCGAGATATGTAAATACTAACCTGACTTGGTAATTAAACGAGTTACCTGAACCCGATCTGTTTGACACGTTTAATAACACATGTCGTTTTCGGGTTAACACGCATAACATGATCTGTTTAACTTGTTTAACATACATAATACATACTTGTTTAACACACATAACCTATTTCGATACTAGTTCATTACCATTAAATACATCATTCAATCATTCATCTNTTTCGGGTTAACACGCATAACATGATCTGTTTAACTTGTTTAACATACATAATACATTCAGGTTTCAACTCAAAAATTAAAGCAAGAACTATACTAGTATACTGTCATAGTAATGTTAAGAACTATACTGCCAATTATCATAGTAGAAGTAAAAACTAATAAGTAATAATATTAAAATCACATCAGTCATACATAATAGACAAACTATATTGTCATAAATGGGTTAAACGAGTTTACAATGGGTTAGATTTAATTCGTATCCGAATCGTGTCAACCCGTTTAAAATATACGGGTTAATCAGGTCAAAATCAAGTTGATCTTATTTTGACATGAATTCGGCATGATTTTTTTTGTATTTAAATGTATTGACTCNAGAACTATACTGCCAATTATCATAGTAGAAGTAAAAACTAATAAGTAATAATATTAAGATCACATCAGTCATACATAATAGACAAACTATACTGCCATAAATGGGTTAAACGAGTTTACAATGGGTTAGATCTAATTCGTATCCGAATCGTGTCAACCCGTTTAAAATATACGGGTTAATCAGGTCAAAATCAAGTTGACATTATTTTGACATGAATTCGGCATGATTTTTTTTGTATTTAAATGTATTGACCTGTTTTAACCCATTAAATATATTATTCAGTTGATATAGTTTTTTAGACTATGCATATTGTTCTCAGGATTGACATGAATTTTTATATATAACACTTATCCTCCAAAAATAAAATTCTGGTTCCGCCCCTACTTGTTATGAATATAAATCTATTANTTATTCAGTTGATATAGTTTTTTAGACTATGCATATTGTTCTCAGGATTGACATGAATTTTTATATATAACACTTATCCTCCAAAGATAAAATTCTGGTTCCGCCCCTACTGGTTATGAATATAAATCTATTTNAACACTTATCCTCCAAAAATAAAATTCTGGTTCCGCCCCTACTTGTTATGAATATAAATCTATTTAAAAAAATGTAAAAACTTGTAATATCAAAATAATATAAAGCCTGTCAAGAGCCAGAATAGTGGGCATATAAAGAGGTGGTTGCACTTGGTGGAAGAAAGGTAAAAAAGCAGAACAGAAGAAAAAGAAACGATCAAATGCAGCAAAACACAGTGGAACAAGATTCAAACTATGCTTGATGTTATGAGCTTCATGTCTTACCAACATCTGATCTCTTTATCGACTTAACGATCACAATGTCTCTTAATTAAGATTGGTTTGACATTGACTAATTAATTAATAGATTTTTCGTGCTTTACATTCTGAAAGATTTAAAATTTTTTATTTTGTATCTTCAAAAACTAAAATTTTTATATTAAACTCTCAATATATCAAAAGTGTTGTAACGTGACTTTCTGTTAGATTCCGTTATTTCCTCTGNGACTAATTAATTAATAGATTTTTCGTGCTTTACATTCTGAAAGATTTAAAATTTTTTGTTTTGTATCTTCAAAAACTAAAATTTTTATATTAAACTCTCAATATATCAAAAGTGTTGTAACGTGACTTTCTGTTAGCTTTCGTTATTTCCTCTCTCAAAAGTCAACCTATTGATACCGACAGAAAAAACTAACAAAAAGTTAATAGAATGTTCACATTGCAACACTTTTAATACATTAAAGAATACAATATAAACAATTTTAAATCTTTTACAGTGCAAAGTAAAATTCGCCCTTAATTAATTGGGGGCACTCTTTTAATTGAACCTTGAGGGATATTGGTGTAATTTTTCTTTTTTGCTTCCCAAAAAAGGTAATTTTTCTACATAAATAGAACAAGATTATGAAAACTTTCAATCATGACAAAATTAGTGGGAATCATTGACTTAATTAATTAAATTGTAAGTTTTATTGTAATTTTTTTTTTGAGAATAAGTTTTATTGTAATTTCAAAAAACTGGATATGTATCACCAATATATCATTTTAATTTTTCTAACTAAATAGCAGATATTCAATTAAAACAACTAAATAGCATATATTCAATTAAAAAAAACTAAATTGCAGATATTATGAAAAATTCCAAACAAGTCTCATTTTTTCAACTAAAAAAAATTTAGATTTATGGGATTCATATTTCCATGAATATAATTGTATCTTGTTTTAATTTATACGAGTCTTATATTTGTTACATCTTTGTTATTGTAAAAATACTAGAAATTCTATTTAATTTCTTGATAAAATTAGCTGGAATAACTAACTGACTTATTTAAATTGTAATACAAGTAAAAAAAAAATTTGATTTGGAAATAATTAGTATCAAAATTTAATTGAATATAATAAATTACACATAGTTTAGTCAGATATTATATAAACAAGACAAGGATTAATTAAATTATAGGTCTTAAAGTAAGAGGTTTATCTCATTTTAGTCCTTAATGTTTCAATTACATTATTTTGATCATTGAAATATTGAATATGTTTTTATATGGTCCCTCAAATATAGGGGTGTAACTTGGGTTGGGGCAATCCGATTTCAACCTGAGCCCAACCTGAAAAAATTAGGACTTGAGCAAGAGTTTTTAATATTTGGATTGGGCTTGGGTCAAAAAATCTTAACCCGAATTCAATTTTGGGTTGGGCTCGGGTTAAGGTCTTGTGAACCCGAATTCAACCCGAACCCGACAAATTAAAAAAAAATNGGTTGGGGCAATCCGATTTCAACCTGAGCCCAACCTGAAAAAATTAGGACTTGAGCAAGAGTTTTTAATATTTGGATTGGGCTTGGGTCAAAAAATCTTAACCCGAATTCAATTTGGGTTGGGCTCGGGTTAAGGTCTCGTGAACCCGAATTCAACCCGAACCCGACAAATTAAAAAAAAAATTATATATATATAAAACATTAACACTTGTTTTTCATTTTTGTTCTATCGTTCTCTGTCTCTCTTGTTCTCTTTGTCTCTCCCATTTTCTCAGCCTCTCTTNATATATAAAACATTAACACTTGTTTTTCATTTTTGTTCTATCGTTCTCTGTCTCTCTTGTTCTCTTTGTCTCTCCCATTTTCTCAGCCTTTCTTGTTAAAAACTTGGTTGAAGTTATTGGTTGTTAATTTAGGTAAATATTATGTAATATATGTATTAGGTTTAGAATAACAAGCCTATTTTAGGCTTTACTTGAATTGAACCCGTAAAGTAACCCGAAATCAGCCCGAAATCATCAACTCGAATTTAACCCGAGCCTGCCCGAATTAAAGTCTAGCAGTGCTGGGGTTGAGTTTTCCAACTCGAGATATGGTTACAGTTAGGATTAGGGTTGAAGATTGTATACTTAGGATTGGACTATGGTTGATTGTCCAACCCGCCCGAGATGCACCCTTACTCAAACAGATAATGTCCAAATTGCTAAAGATTTTGTATCATAAACTTATCACGTAATATCTAAATATGAATAAAAAATAATTTTTATAGCTCTTAAACAAATTTCGATAGCTCTTGACAAAAAATGTATAATATGGATAATTTTTTTTACCAAAATTGAGATAGTTCATGATTAAAATTATGTAATTTGGATAAGTATTTAACCAAAATTTGAGTAAAAGTTTGATCAAGATTTATCTAAATTATTTTTTTGTCTATATTTAAGTATCATATGACAAATTTATGATAAAAATTTGTTAACAATCTGGACGCTGTCTGCTTGAGGGATCATATAAAAATATATTCAATACTTTGAATACCAAAATGGNTTAAGTATCATATGACAAATTTATGATAAAAATTTGTTAACAATCTGGACGCTGTCTGCTTGAGGGATCATATAAAAATATATTCAATACTTTAAAGACCAAAATGATGTAATTAAAATATTAGAGACTAAAATGAGACAAATTTTATATTTTAGGACTTTTTGTGTAATTAACCCGACACCAAATATGATTATTAAATTTATTAGAAAATATAAATAAAGGTATGTTTTATTTGAACAAGAATATCGTTCATTGACAGTTTTGACTTTTGCTTCTCAGTGCGTCTCCTCTCCTTTGTTTGCCCTCCCGCAGTCGTATACAGTCATCTCTCTCTCTCTCTCTCTACCTGAACTTGAATTNACCAAAATGGTGTAATTAAAATATTAGAGACTAAAATGAGACAAATTTTATATTTTAGGACTTTTTGTGTAATTAACCCGACACCAAATATGATTATTAAATTTATTAGAAAATATAAATAAAGGTATGTTTTATTTGAACAAGAATATCGTTCATTTACAGTTTTGACTTTTGCTTCTCAGTGTCGTCTCCGNATTTATTAGAAAATATAAATAAAGGTATGTTTTATTTGAACAAGAATATCGTTCATTGACAGTTTTGACTTTTGCTTCTCAGTGCGTCTCCTNAAATTTATTAGAAAATATAAATAAAGGTATGTTTTATTTGAACAAGAATATCGTTCATTTACAGTTTTGACTTTTGCTTCTCAGTGTCGTCTCCGCTCCTTTGTTTGCCCTCCCGCAGTCGTATACAGTCATCTCTCTCTCTCTCTCTCTACCTGAACTTGAATTCATGAACTAATCTGAAGACTTTCACTGTAAGTCGCTTCCTCTGATCTTCTATTTTCATGTATCTGTAGATGTTATATTTTGTTACATATGATTATATTAATAATGAGTTTCTGATAGTTTTCAAGGGTATCGGATTTTGAGTCTCCTAATTGTATTCAAGGTCTGAATCGATGAGTTATAGATTCGGTTATTACTTTGCTTGTGGTAGTAATTTACCGTTGCTATTATTAACATACAATTCAAGATAGAGTAGTCAACCCTGCAAAATTTATTTGATTCTGAAAATTCCAAAAGAAAATAAAAAAGAAACTGATGGAAGATCATTACTGATGGTCGGGTGATCTATTTTTTTGGATTTCCATTTGCAGTCTAAGTGTAGAAAATAATTGTAGTAATAATGTGTCTCAACACTCAAACGAAGTGCAATTATGTGATGCTGGATTTGGAATCATTAGATTCAGATTATGAAAATGAAGGAGTAAGATCCTCTCCATTACATTTTATCTTCAATTCCTCTCTTGTCACATCATCCACCATGCATTCAAGGGAACCCATTGTATACAAGTGGGTTCTTCACTCATTAATGGTGGATGATGTGGTAAGAAGGGAATTGAAGTGAAAGTGTACCGGAAAGGATCTGGATCCAAAGCAAAATTAGAACAAAATTTGATTTGATTCTTTTGTCCAACTCCAGTGTTCCAATTTCAACCTACCAAACCCATCATGAGAACGAAGATATGGCCAGGTGGATATTGCCATAACTGAAGACAAGGGACAAAATTGGAAGATACTTTCCAAATTTGGAGAATTTTGGGTTCTTTAACTGCCAATAAAATATCACAGGTTTAAGATGATCTCAAATAGTCGAATCTAAATCACTATCAAGGTAATGAAAATAGCTAATGTGAAGGTGAAACTTCAAGTGGGGTTTATGGATACATTCCGAAGTATGGAAGTTCACTTGTGATGTGATGCTTTTCAGTTCCCATTTAAGCCATTGCGAGTTCCCATGTTTGCTTTTGGCCATCCAATTTTGTAAAGGATTTTCCTTACGAGAATGGGAAATCTCAGCTTGGGGAAGATGAAGCAATATAGTGTTTGAACTAAATAAATCTGGAAGTATCCTGTGTATTTTCTTTGTCACCAGACAGTTGCTTGAAGTAAGATGTATATGTATCAGATTTTATGTACTAGTCATTGTACACTTATTTTATTGCTCACGGATATACAAGTCATCTCTTTTAATTCTCAGGGTGCATTAAGGAGTTAATGTAATCTGGTGGTTTGTAAATAAATTAATGGAGATTGGAGAATCCTTGTAGTTTACAAACAACTTCTAATTATGTTCACTCAAGCTTTAGTTAGGTTATTGTTAAGAACTAATATTTGAGGACCATAGATGCAGTTTTTTTATATCTTAAATTATTTTTCTGGTAATTCCTGCCAAGGAAGATTATTCTGAATTTTAAAGACGATCATTTAGTCTCAGTTGAAATGTGAGCTTAGTTGCTTTGCTAAAGCTCTATTGAAGAAGTATATCTATAAATGCCTCCATCCTGCACTTAAGAAAAAATAAAATATTCCTAGATCCGTTCCATTTACTGCCGTAAAAAAAAAGCCCAATTATTTGGCGTGATATTTGCTAGATTATTGTTGTAGTACCTATAAAATAGCTTTTTAACCTCTAGTTTTTTGTTGACAGACAGCTGGTTTTTATGTGTTCACTTGTACAAAATGTTCGATTGTGGTTCCAATCCAAAATATTTAGGTGGCCAGGGAGAGAAGTTTAGAAGGTATGCTATGCGTGCTTTCTTTGCATTATTGTACAATAGGAGGTTTCCCTTCTAAATTCGCTCCAAATTTGTTGCTCTTGCAATCAACAAAAATTATGGCTCTTGATAGATCCACGTAGCTAATCCCAAGTAGTTGGAACAAACCTTTGTTAAGTTAAGTCGACTATATTGTTTTTTTCAACAGTGGTTGGAGAGTTATGTAGGATGAAGAATAACCTGAATTCTAATTTTGATGTTTATTTGATTTCCCCTATATAAGATGGTATATATCCCTTTTGTGGTGACTTCTTAGAACTGCAAATGCTCACCTGATCGAGTGGGATTGAACCACTGCTGTACACATTGTTTGTCCTAAAATTTAGAGCACATTTTTGTTAGGGAAGAAATGGAAGGAAGAAGAAAAAAGATTAGGCATTATTTTTTTCTTTGTCTTTTAATCCTAAGGAGCTAGGGATTTGCTTTATATCCTGGAATCTTGTTAAAGCACATTCATAATTTCAGGAAAAAGTTTGTAGTTGCCTTCAATAATACATCAGATGTAAGCTCATACAGCGTTAGGTCCGTGGATGTAGGCATAGTATGCCAAACCATGTTATTCTTTGTGTCTAGTTTTCCTTTGTTTTATTATTTCCAATCTTTCTCTTGCTATGAAATTCTTTAGCTATATATTCTGGAATCTTGTTAAAGCACATTCATAGTTTCAAGAAAAGTTACTGGTTGTCTTCAAAGCAATTTAAGGCTACTTTCTACACATTTTCAACTTTCCCTTCAGTAATTTAACCTGTAAGGGGATGATTATATGATGTTGAATTTTATTGAATTGAGGATTGGGCACGTATTTCTAACAGCAATGGTATCGTGTTTAGCTGGAAACATGCTAGATTTCCTGATGATGTATCAGTTCATTTATTAAATAGTTTCAGGGTGAAGAATACCATTCTACACGTTNTTTCTAACAGCAATGGTATCGTGTTTAGCTGGAAACATGCTAGATTTCCTGATGATGGTATCAGTTCATTTATTAAATAGTTTCAGGGTGAAGAATACCATTCTACACGTAAGTAAATGTTGGAAGACAGTGCTGCACGACTAATTTGGTGGTCTTTAAGATTTCATGATTTCAAAATGTATTCCAGTTTTTATCCCTTTTACTTTCTGGTTTTGCATTTAGTCAATATATATGTCAAATTTCCAGCAGTTTGAAGAACTTTGCTCCTTTTTGGCTCTTCTCTATGGGCTTGTTTTTTTTCCTGAAGAATTCGTGGCAATAATGGTAGTCTCTTTTCATGAAGAAATACCGATAATCTCCGTAGTTTATTTTTGGTGTAAACTGGATGATANAACTTTGCTCCTTTTTGGCTCTTCTCTATGGGCTTGTTTTTTTTCCTGAAGAATTCGCGGCAATAATGGTAGTCTCTTTTCATGAAGAAATACCGATAATCTCCGTAGTTTATTTTTGGTGTAAACTGGATGATAATTTTTGGCTTCTGGTGCGACTTAAATAATTGGGACAAAATGGATTTGCCTTATAACGGATTGGGTTATATAGTGCCACCCAGACTTTGGCAGTCTTGATATTCAAATCAAGTCTTATGGATTGAGCAAGTGAATTGCCTGGCAGCCAATAAAGTAGCTGTTTAGCGTGAGAAAATTGCTTTCTCTTTATTTAGAATGTAAATCTTTATATTCTCGCTTGCCGCTGAGGGGTTCCATGTGATACATGATTCTTCTCTTGCTTGTTATGCTTTTAACTTTGGGTGGCCTCTAATCTCGGTCTGTTGGTCTATATGTTTTTAGGTTGGATGACTTGGACTCTAGATTGTCATCGCCGTTGGCCTCTAGTGCTATGAACAAATGTGGGTTCAACATTGAGGGTTTGGGTCTTGCTAGTCATGCTACTAATACCTCATCTAAATCCTTCAAGAGAGGAATGCAAAAAGGATCTGAAGGACTAAAGTCAATTGGTCGGTCACTGGGATTTGGGGGGGCAGTGTTTCCTGAAGATCTTAAAGTGTCAGAGAAGAAGATATTTGACCCTCAGGACAAGTTCCTTTTGTTGTGGAATAAACTTTTTGTCATATCATGTATTCTGGCGGTGTCTGTGGATCCACTGTTTTTCTATCTTCCAGTTTTCGATAGCTCGTCAAATTGTTTAGGGATACAACGAAAGTTAGCCATTACAGCTACTATACTCCGTACAATTGTTGACGCTTTCTATCTTATTCACATGGCTCTCCAATTCAGGACTGCGTATATTGCTCCATCATCTCGGGTTTTTGGACGAGGTGAACTTGTTATAGATCGTGCACAAATTGCAAAACGATACCTCAGGTCGTATTTTATCGTTGATCTCCTTGCTGTGCTACCCCTGCCGCAGGTTTGAGACTTTTTTTTATCTTATAATTACTTGTTTTTATTTGCGCTACTTGAGACTGAAGTTTTCCCTCTTATGAAGCTTTTGGCTAGTGAATTCTTGATTATTGTTTGTTTCTTGAACTGACACTTTGCATTGCACATCTCTTTATTGCATCAGCAGGACAAGAAAAATTTTCTTCTCTCCAGTGCTGTTTTCCACTTCTTATCTGTTATCACTTGTTCACAATTTGTTTTCTATAAGCATCCTCCAGAACATACCAGAGCAATGATTATATTGCTTAAGGAGGCTTTTGGCCTTCCTGTACTTTCTGTGGCCTATACGTCTTCTATAGTTTGATAGTTTTGTTAGTTTTTTTGGTTTGTTTGTTTGTAGTTTTGTTGGCTAGAAAATGTTTGGATATGTATATGGAAATAGATTAAACATTTTACAAAGATGGGTACTTTGTTTGGCTGAATAAAAGGGTAGGAGGGGGCAACCAGTCATGGACAACCTTACCTGCGTCTCTCTCTCTCTCTCTCTCTCTCTCTCTCTCTCTCTTGCGCGCGCGCATGCATGCCCAGGTGTGAGAATGAGGAGTTTCTGGGCTGGGAAAACAGATAATAGGATGCTCTCTTGAACTTCTTTATTTCAGATTTGCCATTTCCATCTATGATTTTGCAACAATTTCAATTTTTTTGTAAAATTATGCTTGTCTCTCTCTCTTTTTTTTTTTTGGTTTCTTTTCTGCGTTTTGGACATGTTGTCCATACAACATGTCCTTGGTGATCATTTGCAACCAAGAAAAATATAGCATCCAATAACTTTAAGACAAAGATCATTTAATTTCGNTGCAACAATTTCAATTTTTTTGTAAAATTATGCTTGTCTCTCTCTCTTTTTTTTTTTGGTTTCTTTTCTGCGTTTTGGACATGTTGTCCATGCAACATGTCCTTGGTGATCATTTGCAACCAAGAAAAATATAGCATCCAATAACTTTAAGACAAAGATCATTTAATTTCGTTGCAAGGACAATTTGCAAAATTTTTTTTTTGAGGAGAACTTTTTAGTAACAGAAACTTTATGAAGTGGCAATTTATAAGAATATGTATAAACGGCCCAGTCCACAGGTCTATGTGACCAAGGAGAGTATTCCACAAGAAAAATTGAAACCTAAAGAAGTTTGGAAAAGATGGCATGAGAATGGTGAGCATTTTGAAGTTCATAAATGGATTATAAGAGAAAGATAAAGTTTTGCTGGAATCATGAAGCAAACCCTGTGAGCCAATGAATGCATTTAAGTTTCCTAGAGAAGATGTCTGAGTGAATGTAATATATCTTGCTTGTAATCTTTCTATTACATATCCCATGCAGTCTGGTATTTAGAATATTTAAATTTCAGTGTTTGTATATATATATATATATATATATATATAGATGATTATCGCATGATGGGCCCTAGATCCTTGTAGAGGTTAATAATTATGCTGGAATATCATGGCTTGGGTCTTTGTTTTTCATTTTTCTCAGCATTTAGTTGAGTTTGCGATAATCTTTTATGAGCTTTTGGTTTGAAAAACTCCAAACACATAAAATATGGATAGAAAACATGTACTATTGCAGTCATTTTACTGGTACATGCTATCGTAAAGATCACTTTATTTCTATTATGAGAAATCTGCAAAAGATATAGAATAGTTATTGTGAATCTAGCTATGTTGGTTTTGTCAGAGATTGTTTGCTGATTCACCGGATGTCAGCGAATGTTTGACAGAGTTTTTTGATTTTTTTTTCATTTGTACAGCTTGTTGTCTGGAGGTTTCTACAGAGATCAAAGGGTTCAGATGTACTGGGCACAAAAGAAGCCTTGCTTTTTATCGTGTTGCTTCAATATATCCCTAGATTTGTCCGGATTTTACCCTTAACGTCAGAATTGAAAAGGACTGCGGGTGTATTTGCCGAAACAGCATGGGCTGGTGCTGTATACTATTTACTACTATACATGCTTGCCAGTCATGTAAGGAACTGTTTAAGTTGGTTGACATCGTTTTATAATGTGATGCATTCTTGTGTGTCACTTAAATCTTTTTTTCATCATGTCCTTTGAACTTAAGCTTTGTTGATTTTAAGGATGCTATCTTGTATGGTCCTCAATGATTCGGCTTTGCCTGCATCCCAGGTTGTGATCTAATATTGCAGACATGTCTTGTGTTAAACAACTGCTATGTTATGGTAACAACGCTTGCAAATGTTGGAATGACACCACCATCTGCAGTCTGTTGTGGATTATTGTTAGTATTTCCGCACTGAGAAGATACAAATTTGATGGGAGTGGATTTTTTTTTTGGGGTGGAGGGAGGGCCTGGGGAGTGCTTCATTTCTGAACATTCATCCTCGTCTCTTGGGACTTCACTGTTGTAGTTTGATCCTTCACACTTTTCATAGGCTAAATATTTTAAGAACATATAATTTGTGTCATTTTCGGTTTGATAACTTGCTACTAATTTTTCTTTTGCTTATGGCAAATCAAATAACAATCTTTCACACTCGGCTAGGAAGAAAACGATAAGCCCTANTTCGGTTTGATAACTTGCTACTAATTTTTCTTTTGCTTATGGCAAATCAAATAACAATCTTTCACACTCGGCTAGGAAGAAATTAGAAAAACGATAAGCCCNAGGCTAAATATTTTAAGAACATATAATTTGTGTCATTTTCGGTTTGATAACTTGCTACTAATTTTTCTTTTGCTTATGGCAAATCAAATAACAATCTTTCACACTCGGCTAGGAAGAAAACGATAAGCCCTATATAGGTTGATGCCAAAAATTTCATCCCCCAAAACCATATTTTGATTGCGCTTCAACCATATCAATTGTACTTGAACTGTGACTGCTAGGAAGCACAGATACTCATCACGGGTTGCCTTGGCAATGTCAGACACGTGTTCGACACGGATACACGTGGGATACAGTCGGACATGTGTTTAACACCTTTGGAAGTGTCCTGCACAGTAGATCTGAATTTTTTTCAACCAGATATGGTTCGGATACGTAGGACATAGGAGGGATACGACGGGACTTGTTTTCTTATTTTAAAAACTTAGGGGGGCTAAAATGATAAAAACAAAAGAAAAAGAAGAGGCAACGTCAAAAAGGAAAAATACAAAATGACAAATCTTGAAGGCTGAACCTTCTGTGTTCGTGAATTGTGACAAATAGAGAGAGGGAGAAGANCAAAATGACAAATCTTGAAGGCTGAACCTTCTGTGTTCGTGAATTGTGACAAATAGAAAGAGNACGACGGGACTTGTTTTCTTATTTTAAAAACTTAGGGGGGCTAAAATGATAAAAACAAAAGAAAAAGAAGAGGCAACGTCAAAAAGGAAAAATACAAAATGACAAATCTTGAAGGCTGAACCTTCTGTGTTCGTGAATTGTGACAAATAGAGAGAGGGAGAAGAGGAGAACGAGGAGAGGGGACTAACAGATTGAATCTCCACCAGGTTTGCTTTGGCAATAAGGAGAAGGAGAGGGACGACCAACCTGCATGACTTGGAGTCTCAAATCTGTTATTGTGAGTTTTAGATCTGTGTCGAATGCTGATGATCGATCTCAATTTCTCTCTCTCCCTCCCTCCCTCTCTGGGTTTTCAAAAGGTTTTTTTCGGGGGTGAGGTCTTTAATTAAGTATGGGGAGTTGAAAGGTATGGGGTCTTTAATTGGGTCTAGGGAGTNACGACCAACCTGCATGACTTGGAGTCTCAAATCTGTTATTGTGAGTTTTAGATCTGTGTCGAATGCTGATGATCGATCTCAATTTCTCTCTCTCCCTCCCTCCCTCTCTGGGTTTTCAAAAGGTTTTTTTTCGGGGGTGAGGTCTTTAATTAAGTATGGGGAGTTGAAAGGTATGGGGTCTTTAATTGGGTCTAGGGAGTTGAAATGGTTTTTTGGGGTGGGAGTTAAAAGAGGGTTTTTATATTTTGGTTATGACTCATGAGGAGTTAAGAGGGTTTATTATTATTACTATTAATTATAATATATTATTTTATTATTGTATATTGGTAGATTGTAAATAATGCTTTGTATTTTTTTATTGTTTATATTAAAGAGACTGTATTATTCATTAGTTTATATATATTAATTATTTTAATTAGCCGTATCGTGTCCTATATTTTGGAAATTTGTCGTATCCCTGTCTCGTATCGGATACGTCACTCGTATCCGTATTCATGCTTCACAGACTATGAGATAATCATAGTCAATGATAATATGAATCTTCTGTATTAGATGTTGTTGTTACTTAGCAATGACAATTATGCATCACCTTATTGAGTTTATGTAACCATATTACTCTTTTGTTTTACAGATTATCTTATAATCTTTAATACATTTTTCAAGATCTCAAGAATACCATGTGTTTTTGACAATGATTAATTTCAAGGAATGAAAACTAAAGGCAATCAAAAACTTTTGATGCAAAAAGTAAGAAGAGTTTATACCATGCTGCTAGCATAGGTTCCAAATATCCTTGCTTCTCTCACTATTTTTTTAAGATTTGGTATTTTTCTAATATGTATCTGTGAACTGTGTTGCAAAAGATTTACCCCTTAAGTAAAGTAGACAATGGCTAAACTTCAACCCCCATGTGAAAAAATAGTTCCTTTTGAAACTGAAAAGGCTGAGGATGCTGCTAATGAAGCTGTGGTTTCTTTTCAAGTCTCACATTGATGTGTCTTCTCTTGTGACATTTCGCCTTTACATTAACTATCAAACCATTGCAGGTGAATGCTAAATATTTGAATCAAGGTTATTGTTGAACTCATCATCCTTAAAAGCCTTTATTACCAGCTGTTAGGTTGAATGGGTTTACTTGCCGCCCCAATAATTGGGAAGGTGTAAAAATGTAAGTTTCAACTGGTTTATGTTTGGATATGAGCAGAGCTTGGCAATATCGACACCAAATTATATGCGTAGGCTGCTGGGTGTGATGGTGAACTTTTTGACACCTGGTGTCTACTTGTTTAAATTTTGTGTCTAAAGTGAACAATTGACCATCCTAATGTGCTATGTTTTCGATGGGTTTTAAGGCTGGAAAAAGAAACAGATATAACTGGAGCTTAATTGAGCCAGGCATGTTGGGTTGCAGTTTTCCTTGTGTAAGTCAAGAATTGGTATGTTTCGGAGATAGGGATGGTCTAAGTCTAACAAACAAAAACATCTAAATCTTTTCCTAAAAGAGTATGAGGCAGAAGACTAGTGTCAACTTAGACTGTGGCACTTTAATCATCTTTTGATTGACTGGTGTACTATTTGATATTGATAGCGACAGAGTAATAATGAGACATGTTAACTATTGTGATATTAGCAGTCACGTATGACTCCTCTCCTAAATGTTATCCTTGTTGTGTATGATTGCTCTTGGATGCTATTACTTTTGGTTCAGTTTTAGTGTCATCAGCTATTTAGTAATGAGAAGTTGACTTTTTTGGTCTGTCCCCTTACTGGATGGGATGTTTACAGATAGTTGGGGCTTTCTGGTACTTACTATCTGTGGAACGTAATGATACATGCTGGCAGAAAGCTTGTGAGCAAAGTGGAGAATGCAACTCTAATTTCTTGTATTGCGGCAACCAGTACATGGAGGGCTATAATAACTGGAGCAACATCAGTTCNAACGTAATGATACATGCTGGCAGAAAGCTTGTGAGCAAAGTGGAGAATGCAACTCTACTTTCTTGTATTGCGGCAACCAGTACATGGAGGGCTATAATAACTGGAGCAACATCAGTTCCTCAGTTTTGAATTCATCTTGCTCTGCAGATGGTGGACCATTTGATTTTGGAATCTTTGAGCAGGCTTTGTCATCTGGCATTGTTTCATCAAATAAGTTCATTTCTAAATACTGTTACTGTTTGTGGTGGGGGCTGCAGAATTTGAGGTGAATATAGTTTCATACCCAGCTTATGCCCTATTTGTTTGGATAAGACCTGCAACTTTAGTTTCACGTAATTTTGTTTTCATGCGTATTGCCTCGGTGCGTAATTTTTTTATGACTGGGAGGCTTAGTTTGTCTTCATATATGTAGCCTCAGTGAGTGGATTTTTTATAACTGGAAGGTGCCACATGCTATGTGTATGTTCCCTGCCTTGTAATATTCTTTCTTACTTTTATTTAGTTTTTTCCACCAACAATAGTCATCCTATTCTTGAGAACTCTCATGTTGCCAATAGCCATATTTTTTCGAAGAAAAAAATGACATACCAACAATACAAATCAAACCAAAAAAAGGGATCTTCCCTTGGTACACTACTATAGGTGGCATCGTTACCTTAGTTGAGGCAATCCAACGTCCATGGAAAATAAAAAATGACCAAAGTGGATACCATGTTGGTGAGTTATATTTTTTCTTTTTTTCATTTACAGGCGGCAATGCATTCATTGTAAAGTCTAAAATTGTCGAAAGATCTGCTTGATACAGTGATGGTACTCCAGTAAAAATTTAACCTTGTGTTTAGATGTAGAAACTAGAGAGGCATTGTGTATGACTTGAAAAGTTACTTTTATTGGTTATAGGGGATGGTTAAAATGTTAATCTGGTGAAGAGTAGCTGGAGAATGNATTTAACCTTGTGTTTAGATGTAGAAACTAGAGAGGCATTGTGTATGACTTGAAAAGTTACTTTTATTGGTTATAGGGGATGGTTAAAATGTTAATCTGGTGAAGAGTTGCTGGAGAATGCTTATGTTCAATATACCAGCAAGAAACAGCCCAGCCTCGTGTGTGTGTGTGTGTGAGAGAGAGAGAGAGAGAGAGAGAGAGGTGTATCCTTCCAAAATAAAGNCACCCTTATTTGCAGTTCTGCTCTGTGACTTCAATTCCTGTGTTACAGTTAAACCGAAAAGAAAGTACAGTTACTTGTCACTATTGTGCACTCTCCTAAATCCACAAAACACCCATGCTGTCACCACTGACTTCAAATTCTTTGACTAAGCAAAAATTGTTGAAACCATGTTGCATGGCAANAGTATGATTTTTCTGTTCTCCCCCAATTCTAAACCTATTGAACAGTTCCATCCTGCCAAAATTTTATTGTGCTTTATCCTTTTGAAGTTGAGGACTACTGTTTTTAACCTGTCTCTAATTCCTTATATACTGGGGTTCTTGGGTAAGTTTCTTTTTTTGGTTTGCTTTCCAACTGGTAGAATAAAAAATTGAAACTTATATTAACAAAACAGACNAAATTTTATTGTGCTTTATCCTTTTGAAGTTGAGGACTACTGTTTTTAACCTGTCTCTAATTCCTTATATACTGGGGTTCTTGGGTAAGTTTCTTTTTCTGGTTTGCTTTCCAACTGGTAGAATAAAAAATTGAAACTTATATTAACAAAACAGACGATCAATTTCTCAAACCACCAATGCCATATTAAAAACTGACGGTAATCCTCAAATCACAGACCACCCATATTACATGTAGCTAGCTACCCCGACAAAAAGTTGGCATTGAAATTAAACAGATGAAAACAGAGTGAGTTCTGTCGTCCGTTGGTTTTTTCGCTTGATCTTCTTTTATCAAACCCTTGCATATTGCTTGCTTCCTGATTTGGGATAATTAGTGCTTGTGGAATTCAGGAACAGCATCAGTAGATAGCGGTTTCTTGTTACCCAATTCCTTGGGAATATTTACAGTTTGGTTGGATGACAGTTCTGGGAGATCAAAGGTCTCTTCATCCTCTTGGGGATTTCAAATAGGGATTTTTGGGTTCTCAAATAAGCTGTTTGAATTTTCCTACTATGGCGCCGGTGAGAAAGAGTGATATGATAGTTATTGATAGTAAGCGTAATAGTAGAGGAAGGTCAAAATTAAACTTAAATGAAATAGTAAAGAAAGACATAACTACTTATGGTCTAACAAAAAGCATGAATCTTGGTATAGCGCAATGGCGAGAGTGGATTCATGTAGCCAACTCAAAAAATGTTGGGCAAAGCTTTGTTGTTGAAATAAACATTTTAAATTTCCTCAATAATAGGATGTAAAGCTTTTAAGGGATAAAAGGCACCATCTCTCGGTCTCTCTAAAGAAATATCATATGACTTCGAATGATTGTCCTTGTTTAGTTTTAATTAATTTCATTTTTTATATTTGCAATTATGCCTGTATAATTACACTAAGGCTTATTTCCTAGGAAAAAAAAAAAAACTCTCAATAAATCAATATGACGACAAAAAATGGTTTACCCAAAAAAAGTTTACATGAATGACAAAATAAAATTTTTATTTTTGGAAATGGATTTTCAGCAATGGAATCTGAAACTTCTTTATTTCATGTGTCTCATGCACTTTAGAAAGATTTGTTATTCTTATTTCAATTGTGTGGGTTGTTAGGAAGATATCTAAATGTTAGGATTTGTTTTAGAGTCAGAATTGGTTATACTTTTTTCCATCACTGTTAACAGCTATTTTTTGACCTATGAATTATAATTTGACCGTGATCCTGACTTATGGTAAAAGTTAGTTTCAAATCTAATTGTCATATCAGTTACTTATAAACTAATTGTACAGATTCATGGGTTCCTTTTACACCCTTATTTGCAGTTCTGCTCTGTGACTTCAATTCCTGTGTTACAGTTAAACCGAAAAGAAAGTACAGTTACTTGTCACTATTGTGCACTCTCCTAAATCCACAAAACACCCATGCTGTCACCACTGACTTCAAATTCTTTGACTAAGCAAAAATTGTTGAAACCATGTTGCATGGCAATGTAGCCTCAACAATTCCATGCAGTCACATTGGAATATTATGCTAATGTAGAAGAAATTAAGTTGGAGGATTTTCCATTTTTCTTTTTGATGAGAGCATGCAGCTACTACGGTGCATTGTTATGGCTGCTATTGTGTTGATTACTCAGGATGAATCTGTAGACCATGTTTAAATTACATGTGTCCATCATTCTGTTGACATCTGTTTGTATGTTCTTAGATGTCTTTTTTATGACCTAGTATATCTGTTAGAAATTCCTTCTATATGATAACAGCCCAATTATAAGTTATACAGACAATTGTTTATCCGTATTCAGATCTCAAACAATCATCATTTAATGGCCTTTTCCTTGTATTTCTCCTGCAGTACGCTTGGCCAGGGACTTCAAACCAGCACCTATGCTGGAGAGTCTATATTCTCCATTGCGCTAGCCATTTTTGGGCTCATTCTCTTTGCACTTTTGATTGGCAACATGCAGGTAATGCCTGAACTTTAAAGTGGATTGCTGCATGTTGGGTGGGCATATGAAACTAGCCATAGCTGTTTGTGAAAGTTTTTTAAATTTGGGCCAGTTATGCTTCAAGTTTAATTAAGGATGGCCTGGTTATCAGATGGTCATGATTGAACAGCTTTACACGACTAATGAATTATTTTATTATTTCATACTTCTTGATGCTCATTGCCCTATATCTGCATGCTGATTGGAGTCTTACAAATCATATATATATATATATATATATATATACTAGTAATTGCCCATGAAGGCACTATGTAACTTGTTAAAAAATTATAAATATTTGTCCATGCACAAAGGCAATGTATTACTCATTTACGACAATCAACAATATATATATAACCCACTAATATGTTTAAAATTTTTTGACAAAATATCTTTAAAAAATAGGGTATTTGAATAATATCCACTTGTATACAAATATATATAATCAAACTTTATTTAAAGAAGATCACACCGCAATAATGCATGAATCAACATCTGCAGAAAAAAAAAACATGTTCACCGTTTATCATCAATTATATCTTAAATGGTTCATGTGTAAAATTTATTTGAGAGTTTACAGTTTAAAATTTCAACATTCATAATCAATTATATCTCCAACTCCAACAATATATTCATCGATACTTATACCACTAGTATATTATGCTTAGCTTATAGCAAACAACCATGCTTAGACAATATCCAATATAATAGTAGTGAAAGGATCCATTGATACTCGATGACCATGTATAGCAATTCAACTCCAATGTGAAACCTTCATCCAAGATATATAAAATGGAGTTGGAGAGAGAGGTCATCATTAATAATCCAAAAAAAAAAACTAAATATTCTCATCATAAAACATGACAATTAGGTACAAAATACCACCATGATATTGCTAACTATCATCACCACCATCAACTGCATAAAAGAGCAAAGTAAAAACAAAATATCCAAAGCAATTCAATTATTACTAACTACCATTGCTAAGATATCAATTACCTAATCAAAAATCTCATGCCCCTCTCTGGAGATCTGTGAGAGTATATTATTTTACTTTATCAGAATTAAGTTCAAGCAGCGCTCGAAGCCCAAAAATCCCTAATATTGATACGTACTAAATGATGTCATAAAAATGTCTAGTGATAGGAATTGAAATAAACTAAGTATATCGTTGAAACAATGTTCAAATCCCCAAACTCAAAAAGTTAAGGACCTATTTACCTCAAGCACAGTTAATGAGAAACAATAAAAGAGTTCAATCTTATCTTGAACCAAGCAAATTAAATTAAAAGGACGAACTTGGTAAAAATATACAAAAAATTACTTGTTTATTATCATGACTCAGAATCATTTATAACCAAATATCTCTCATTAGAAGATAAATCAATAAGCTTAACTTATAATTAAACACAATTAAATTGCAAAAGAAATAAGTAGAACTATGTTTTAGGTTGAAATATATTTAACATAGGAACAACAAAAAGTAATAAAGGACGTTAGCCAGAGCGCAACAAATTAGATAGTTAAAGGTACTGACATGTCCCTAATAACAAACAACCTGCTTATGTATCGTAGCTATGTGTGAAGCAATTGGTGACCACTGCACATAACTTTTAATTTGAAAAAATGAAATGAAGTCAAATTGAAGAAAGTAACCTTTTGTCAAGAACAAAAGCTTTTTAATAGGACTATATTCATCAGAGTACCAAACAATCAATAGAATTGCATTCATTTCTTCAACACCAAATAATACGATCATCCATATGACATTAGTACATAAACCCATGATTAACAATGTAGGCTAGCGAACTAAAAACACAATCGAAGAAAGAGTAGTTATAAAAAACCAACNGATTGCATTCATTTCTTCAACGCCAAATAATACGATCATCCATATGACATTAGTACATAAACCCATGATTAACAATGTAGGCTAGCGAACTAAAAGCACAATCAAAGAAAGAGTAGTTATAAAAAAAACCAACTAAATGAAAGCAAAAACAAAATTACAACAATAATTTCAATTGTAATGAAGCAAAAAGAGGCTTAGTCTAATGGACATCACATACCAACCTTTTTATCATGCAAATGCCCACTTTTAGAACCGGGACTCAAGATTCAGTTGAATACAATACAATTAAAGTTGGTGAAAGTTTTTTTTGTGGTACACACTACTAATGTGACAAAAAAAATGTAATTTTCATTTATTTTCTTCATTGTCTTTTTAACCTACACCACCCAAACATGTTTAAAATCAATAAGCAATTTTTTAATCAAAAAAGAACTGTAAAAAAAAAATACCCATATAAATTGAGGAGACAAATTGAATTTTTTGGGGTTTTGTGTAGTGGGTTTTAATTTTTGGACGGGATTTAATATTTGGGTAGGATTAGATTAGATGAATTTTGATGATATCTAAATCGTATATTTAAATTTCAATTAAATCTTAGTTGTTCTTTTCTTTTTTTTTTAAAAAATTGAGAGTATTAATTTTAATTTTGAAAATTTAAAATTGCCTCTATATTGTTACTGTAAATAGATATATATATATATATAGATATACAATTGTCTAAGTCAAACTCTCCAATAGTTTAAATGGAGATGGTGAGAGATAAAAAGAATGTAGTAGAGTCTTAGTCAATCTATCCAATGTTTTGAATGGAGATGAGGAGAGATAAAAGGAATGTAGTTGAGTATTGTTGGAATGTAAATTAATTAGGATCGTCGGATCAATAATACTGAATCGATCTGAACCGTCTTTATGTTGAGATTACGTTGTCCGCTGAATGTTTATGTTTTGTTTCAAAACAATGTGAACCTATCTTTGTCTTTTGAATTCAAACTTTGTTCTATTTTATTATATATATATATATATAAGTTGTGTAAGATTTTCTTCCAATTACTACGGAGCATGACCATGACATTGAGCTAGTGTGGAGCCAAGGCGTCAGCTTGTGGTCGTCATTCTAAGGTTTTCCCACGGTTGATGGGTAAAACGTTATGTATGACCTTAGAGATCATAGTTGTGGCCTTTGGAATATTTCCAATGTACTTGGTGTATGAATTGGTTGCATGGAACCGTGCATTATCGTAATTAGTTTTAGCATGCAGTGATGCTCTATCCATTTTCTCCTTTATCATTATGATATGAGTGTTAGGTTTGAGATCTTACTGCTTTTTTTTCTTCATGCTGGTCCATATTTCCTGATATTTGGAGGGTTAAAGGAGAATAATAAGGATTATATCTCTCCCACGGTGAACGTTGTTGGTAGGCAATAACTAGGACACCCTTAGAATTTCACCAGAATGGGCATTGCAAGACGAGGCTCACTGATTGGTGAGATCTGTAATGCATGTACATTGGGCAACCTCTTTCAAAAAGATAAATATTTGATGGCAGGTCCATGGGCAACCTCGATTGTTGCTTATATCAATAATCTACAAAGCCATGGTGATGTTCTCGTTCAGAGGGATTGGAACTATGAAAGCACGAATACAGGATATGGGTACGATACGATATAGATACGGTGATATGACAAAATCTAAAAAAAGTAGGATACATATTACCAAGTATACACAAAGTGAAGTGACTAATTAAATGAATCAAAACTAATATTTATTTAGTTGGTTTGTTTAGAACTAAGATTATAATGTAATAGATTCATTTTATGCTCTTTTGACATGTATATTTAAAAAATACTCACTTGGGCTTCAAAGAAGTATACATTTTTGTAGATGTGCTATGGTATGTGAATTTGGAAGGTGATGTTAAAGATTAAATTCAAAAATTATACACGTTGCTCAAATACAAAAGCATCCGCGAAATATCTAAATATTTTATTATTATCGGATACGTAGGAGGTGTGTCCAATACATATTCTCGAGAATCCGATAGGATTGGAGCAAGGCGCCTTGGAGATTTCACACACATTACTTGCAATGCATATGATCTTCATAGTTTCTCTTGTTGGTGGTTTGACATTTGAAGTTATTTTGGAGACTCTGCTGCCACTCTGGAATTCTATGTATTGATACTATGGTGTCTCCCTCTTTTTCACTTGTGGAAGTTTTTATATATTTGCCTCTCCCTGTATCCTTTCTATTTGTTGCATTGAGGAGATTTTGCCCCTCCAATTATCCACCCTTCTCTATCTTCCCAGCTTCCCATGTATCTTTGCTTCCTTAACTAGATCCATCTTAGACTGGCGTTTTTATCCCCTTAAAAGCATCTCTATTTTATTTTCCAATTTGACTTGGCCCAGTCTTAGCAATCCATTGGAATGTGGTGACCTATGAGCCCTCTGTGGTAATGGGGCTGGAAAACTTTTCAGAACTTAAAAAACTAGCAAATGTAGCACCCAAAATGGAGATGTGGACCCTTTTTTAGATAAGGAAGTAGTTTTATCCTCGTGCCTTTGAAAACTTCTTGATGGCCACCATTGGATTGGATGTTCCTCTTATTCGTGTCATCAGTGTTATGAATGAAGTTTCCGGAAAGTTGTTATGAATGAAGTTTATTGCGAGGATGAGAGCTGTATTCCATCAACATCACACTGTCGACCAGAATTTTTACAACAACATTTTGTTAAGAGAACCTTCAGTTTTCGTATTGGATGCATGTATTCGATGACATTAATATTATGTGCATGACAAACAGGTGAGATAAGAATGTGGGTTCCACATTAAGTCATTGAGAGGTGTACGAATAACAGTAATTTTGACTTCATATTTTTTTCACATTAATTTATTAGTACTCTGATTTTGGGTTTTGTGCTATTCTAACAGACATACCTCCAGTCTCTTACTATTCGACTTGAAGAGATGCGAATTAAAAGGCGTGATTCAGAGCAATGGATGCATCATCGGTTGCTCCCACAAGATCTCCGGGAACGGGTCAGACGTTATGATCAGTACAAGTGGTTGGAGACACGTGGAGTGGATGAAGAAAGCTTGGTTCAAAGTCTACCAAAGGATCTAAGAAGGGACATAAAGCGTCATCTTTGTCTGGCTTTGGTCAAGAGGGTAATTTTACCTACTTACATTTTTTCTTCTTGGTAAATAGTTTGCTTTTCCAAATTTGTTTTTTTGGCATCTAGTTCCTCATATTTATAGAAACACCAAGACTAGTTTTTTGCATTTTCCATCTTACTGTAATATGGCAAATGGACGTTGTGACATTGTCCCTTGCTTATCAATCTTTTTGCCAATGTTTTTCAGGTTCCTCTGTTTGAGAATATGGATGAGAGGCTGCTGGATGCCATTTGTGAGCGGTTGAAACCATGTTTATGCACAGAGAATACTTACATAGTTCGAGAAGGAGATCCAGTTGATGAGATGCTCTTCATTATACGTGGTCGGCTTGAGAGTGTGACCACTGATGGTGGAAGGAGCGGTTTTTTCAACCGCAGCTTGCTAAAGGAAGGTGATTTTTGTGGCGAGGAGCTTCTAACCTGGGCACTGGACCCCAAATCTGGTTCTAACTTGCCATCTTCTACCCGGACAGTTAAAGCTTTGACAGTGGTGGAGGGTTTTGCCCTAACAGCCGATGAGTTAAAGTTTGTGGCTAGTCAGTTCAGGCGGCTTCACAGTAGACAGGTTCAACACACCTTCCGATTTTACTCACAGCAGTGGAGGACTTGGGCTGCTTGCTTTATCCAAGCAGCGTGGCGCCGGTATTGCAAAAAGAAACTTATGGAGCTTCGCCGAAAGGAAGAAGAAGCAGAAGAATTGGCGGTGGCTGGAACCAATGCTAGTGGAGGCTCTTATAGCATTGGTGCCACCTTCTTAGCTTCTAGATTTGCAGCTAATGCTCTTCGTGGTGTTCATCGGAATCGGAACCTTAAGACTGCCAGGGAATTGGTTAAACTTCAGAAGCCCCCGGAGCCCGATTTTACCGCTGATGCAGATTAAGGTTTATGTCTGAAAAGTTGAGGATAATTGACTGTTTGTGCTGTATTTGCATTGTGGCAAGGGATAACACTGTACTAGTATACTTTAATGAAGTTGCTTGCTGAAACCAGTGGTGTATTTATTTGTTTGTTTTGAGTCTGCTGCAATGTAAATCAAACCCACTTTATCTACTTTTGCATCATGGTTTCTTTTATTTCCAATGTAAGTTGAGCTCTGAACTGCCCATATTTTGTTCTGAGCCTTCCCTCAAACATGTAAATACCCTTTAACTTTCGCAAGTCAAATCACTAGTTGAGTGAAACTCATGACTTGTAAATCGAATGATGAAATATGAAATGAGAAATTAGAAATAAGAAGAGCAAATGAGATAGAAATAATAAATCATTGACAGAATTTAAATTCAACGTTCATAGGTAATATAGATGGATTTTTTTATTTTTTTTGACGGTCTGGAGTATTTGGGTTGTTTTACATACATTTCGACTAATTTTCTCTTCGATCTAGTTAAAAATAAGTTATTTACGCTAGGACTAGAGTATTNTTGTTTTGAGTCTGCTGCAATGTAAATCAAACCCACTTTATCTACTTTTGCATCATGATTTCTTTTATTTCCAATGTAAGTTGAGCTCTGAACTGCCCATATTTTGTTCTGAGCCTTCCCTCAAACATGTAAATACCAACTTTCGCAAGTCAAATCACGAGTTGAGTGAAACTCATGACTTGTAAATCGAATGATGAAATATGAAATGAGAAATGAGAAATAAGAAGAGCGAATGAGATAGAAATAATAAATCATTGACAGAATTTAAATTCAACGTCCATAGATAATATAAATGGATTGTTTTTTTTTTTTTGACGGTCTGGAGTATTCGGGTTATTTTACATACATTTCGACTAATTTTCTCTTCGATCTAGTTAAAAACAAGTTATTTACGTCAGGACTAGGGTATTAATGAGAAATAAATTTTTTATGATCATAGTTTTAAAAAGTTGTTAAGGTTCGAATCTAGGACGTATGAGTTTACAATTCGTCCTTATTACCACTTGAACTACCTTGGAGTTAAATGAGNTTAATGAGAAATAAATTTTTTATGATCATAGTTTTAAAAAGTTGTTAAGGTTCGAATTTAAGACGTATGAGTTTACAATTCGTCCTTATTACCACTTGAACTACTTTGGAGTTAAATGATTTGTCTATAATAAAAGAAATTTTCCTAAGATTCTTATTCATCCACTTTTTCAAAAAGGATTGGTAGAACTAAGAAAATTCACTCATTGGGTAAATAAACAATTAAATTGGATGGTATTGAACACTGAATGAATATTGATCTTGCAACAGAAGGTGCCAAGGTAGATTTGTATGCCATCATTTATGTGAAGCCCCTAACATCATGTACCACTAATGTGATGAAGAACTTAGAAAGCACAAAAAAAGAACCAAATTTGTGAATTTGTGTAGTGTTACTCTTACGGTAGAAGATTTCAACACAAAACCACAATATAAGTGTTTTTCTGATTTCTTTCCAATAGATATGATGACAGTGATCCAGTTAGTGTCCATTTCATGCCTACTCCTGCAAACAGATAATGCCCATAAGGAAATGCCTACAAGTAAAAAGGCCAGAAGTCGTGGAACTAACCACTGCCTCGCATAAAATGACAAAGTGTATGTACAACATTAACCAAAAAGGTTGTACAAACAAGCTATACTTGGTCTAATTTATGTATTATGAATTTCGATACAAGAATTCCTTTCAACATCCATGAAACAGGTATGAATCAAGGGCAAGAAATTGCTTGAGAATCCTCCAAAGTGTCACCATCCTAAACTTCAAATACAAAAAGAACAAAGAAAAAACAATTTCTATGGTTAAGAATTTAAAGCTTAACCCAAACAGTAAGTGTAGATGTAACAAAGGGTAGCCTACATTTTCTACTCCAAAGTGGTATTAACGGGATTGATGTTTCCTTGAGAAGATATAACCCAATCATTTCCCCCGAATTGCAACACTTAGTCGATCTTCACAGATGAGTATATAAGCCTTGTGAACCAGAAACATGCATAGAAGCCGATGGTACCAGTGAGGACAAAGAAAGCATACGAGGCAATCAACATATACCCGAAGTATAAAATGCCAGACACAGGCTTTGTGATCTCAAGCTTTGTGAAGAAATAGAATGCTGCGTAAAGGAAGAGGTAGAGTGCTGAGGACCCAGAAGTCAGGTATGACCTCCACCACCAAAGGTAGTCCTCACTGCACAGCTGGAAATAGCAGAGCACGATTGTGATCTCAGCACACGTAACAATTAGGATCACAAAAACAATGAAGAGGAAGCCAAAAATGTAATAGAACTGATGCAACCAGATTGAGGTGAGGATGAAAAAGAGCTCGATAAAAACAGCACCGAATGGTAGTATGCCTCCAATCAGGACAGAGAACACCGGGTTCATGTACCAGGTCTGTTCAGGTATCTGCCTTGGAATCTTATTCGTTTTCACGGGATCCTCAATTGCTGGTCTCTTAAACCCAAAATAACTACCAGCGAAAACAAGTGGAACTGAGATGCCAAACCACAAGAATACCAACAAAAACATGGTTCCAAATGGCACTGCCCCTGAAGATTTCTCACCCCAAATAAGAGCATTCAGTACAAAGAAAATAGCAAAGACAATTCCAGGAAACGTAAAAGCCGTGCGGAGAGTTATTTTCTTCCACTCTGTTCCCTTGAACATCTTGTAGAGACGAGCTGAGGAGTACCCAGCAAACAGGCCCATGAAGACCCAAAGTAGGAGCATGGCTGTCATTAAGCCCCCTCGGTTTGAAGGGGAGAGTAATCCAAGAACAGCAAACATCATGGTAACTAGTATCATTCCAAAAAACTGAACACCTGTCCCAACGTAAACACAGAGCAAATCTGAATTTGTCGGAGGCCTAAAAACATCACCATGAACCAGTTTCCATCCTGTCTCCTCCTGGGCTTCTTCCTGAGTCTCTAACTGGTTGTACTTCGAGATGTCGCGGTAGAGCGTCCGCAGCATAATCATAGCTACCATACCAGAGAGGAATAGAACAATCATCAGAGAATTGACAATTGAGAACCAGTGAATTTGATCATCAGACATCAGAAGATATGTATCCCATCTAGATGCCCACTTGACCTCGCTCTCCTGTAGGTTGGAGGAAGGAGTGAAAGACGACAGAACATCACAACCCAACTTCAGCAATGCATAAACTATGTCTCATCAGAAATAAAAANTGGAGGAAGGAGTGAAAGACGACAGAACATCACAACCCAACTTCAGCAATGCATAAATTACGTCTCATCAGAAAAAAAGAAAAAAAGGCATTACCTGGAATTCAACATCATAAGTGAAGATAATTTCTTTCTTATCTTCAATCTCTTGAGGAGATTCGGAGCTGGTAACTAGGCGTTTTGCATGGGCATCACAAGTTGTTAGGCGAGTCTTGTCATTCCAAGTGCCTTCATATTCATGTTTAACACTAGATATCGAAGAGCAGAATAACATCAATAGGCATGAACTGAATTGAAAAGAGGTTCTTCAGACCTATCGAGTATAATCTAGCATGCTCTATCACCTGAATGCTTTGACTTCAAATCCTACAATCCTTGCAGAGTTTGCCTGTGTATCCTTGTGAAACTTGACTGTGAATGTTAAGTGGTTGTGGATAAAATATGTCTCATCCTTGTTCTGAGCATAATTAAATTAAATCAATAATGCTTCTTGCTTTGCAATATCACAAAGTTCACAAATTTGCAACAAAGATGCTAACTGAATTGAGACTTACTCCAGCATAATGTCCTTTAAGACCAACATAAAAGCCATATTGATACACAATTGGATCCTCATCAGCCCTTCGTATGGGCCTAACCAGAGGAAGATTATCCAAAATCCTGTTTAACGGAAACATTAGTGATCTAGTGTGTAAAAGCAGTATGCAATGCAAGGTTTCTGGAATTCAACTGATGAATACCCACAAAGTTACTCACATATTAACGCGGTATTCGTCATCTATCTTTTCCTTAAATTCCTTGGCAGTTTTTGCAGTAAGTGGTACACGACATACAACATTGCACATTTGTGGTTCTCGCATTTTAAACTGCAATTAACTACTTCCGTAAGATACAAACATCCAGACATAGTAAGACGAGCATCCAGACAGAGTAAAAGACACACCGGTAAATGATCTGAGTAATACTGACCACATAAGGGGAGTTCTCAATACGATCGCCCCGAAGAACTTCCCCAAGGTTCTCTGCACTGTCCAAAATTTTCTCTGGCTTGCAGTAAGGAAGGGAATAGTAGGAATAGGGAAGTTGTGTTTTAGTAGAGGTCAATTTGTTGACTTTCACCTTTAGAAGATCGCCCTGCAACCAAAAAAAAAAAAAACTAATATAGTCTACAAAAAGATAGGATAGCACATATTGGTGTGACTTAATTGCCAACTGTGACTGAGGCCAAAAATAAAAAATTACCAACTGTGATAATGATGGAAATAGAAACAAAAAAAGGCCTATAGCGGATTCTCTGAATTACTGTTAGATGTAGCATGAACATAGTTGTCAAATCGCAATTCGTATCCTGAATCAGAATCTAAAATTTGAGAATCGTAAATCGTATCGAATCGTGAATCATAAGATTTGACACAAAATTTGAATAAAAAAAAAATAATACTACATATTTAAAATAGACAAGACATTGAATATTGAACATTATTGTATTCTAAAAATAATCAATTGACATAATCATGTTGTCTAAATATAAAGACGCTAATCTTTTGCTTTATTTTCATTTTTTGTTTAATCATTTTCAAATTCATTAAGTTAAAAAAAAATTCATTAAAGAACCATAGCTATTCAAGAACTAAAATAGTGACACTCAGTATAGACTAGGTTGCAAACATGAATGAAAAAAGAACAAATAAGAAAATTAATTGGGAGAAAACATGAAAGCCAACATTTTAAAATAAAAAATTAGAACCTAACAAACTATCCATAAAAGAATTGAGAGTAAAAATCAACCGATGATGCGAGAGCGTTAACTGTGACATTTAACTTTTGTCAACGCAAGACGAGTTTTAGAAGACGCCAGAGAGAGAACGAACAAAAATGTGGAGTTTTTATTAGGGCATGAGTTCCTCTGCAAACAAAACGAAGTCGTTTTACTGTTTAGCAGACATAACAACGTCGTTTTGTCAAAAATTTGAATTTTAAAAAAAAATGATTGAATCATGTGATTCGTGAGATACGAATCGAATCGTACGAATCAGGTGCGATTCAATTCTAAAACGATTTTCATATAAGATACGAATCGTTTTGTACCAGTATCGAATCGAATCGTACGAATTGAATTGTGAATCGTACGATGAGCATGAGACTTGTGAGATGTTTAAGACTTAGCACACTCCATAGGGGAAAGACTATGCTTAACCTCAAAATCACAAAGCAAAAATTGCAAGTTCAAGTTCAACTGAATTTTTATTGTTACAAGCATGCAGATTTGAAATCTCTAATTCCTATTATAATTGATTCACGAAAGACTTTTTTCTTTGAATTCAGAAAATGATGAGATATCACATTATTGACAGGGTCCAGAACCAAGTTGAATTAAAAGAACTTGAGAGGATCCACTCAGGACAATAATATATCCTAAAGTGGAAAGTACATGGTAATCAATAATGCGAGGCATGTTTAATAGAACTGTTCTAATATATGCTTCATAACAAACAATAGAAAGTAGACCACAATGACATTGGGTAAATTCTTGTGAGACATTTAAGAGATTCAACAATTACAATGAAGCAAATAATGCAAGCCGTTATTCTGTTTCTCAAATAATTATACTCCGACTACCTCTCCATTGAGTTGTGATTGCACAAGAAGTCTGAGAAGGGCCTGCCAATCCATGCATTCTAAATTTTGCATGGCAATTTTGAGAAAATATCTTCCAGAGATGTTCCACAAGATGCGTCAAGTATAAGATTCCCAGGTGATTTCCACACAATACAAAGAAGAATAGTCCCCAGTGTTGCAAAATCGTGTAAGGTGCTGATTACCAGGGTCACTTTCCTAACAACTTAAATCAACCAAGAATCAGATTGTTACATCCATAAATACATATAGCCCATTGACCACTCAATCCCACTTTTAAGTCCTCCATTAAGTATCACATACAGGCATCCCACAACCCACATAAGAATCAACTCAATAATAAGAGGATCGCAACCAATGTCACATCAACCCGCATTCAATTTAGCAATTGTGCATGCAATGTCGATCATTTCAAGTTCACTAGTTTATACAAAAAAATTCACTAATAATCATACTAACAGCATGCGATAAAGTTGTGAATGTTACAATACAAATACAGTTGTATATTAATGTATATACATATGGACATGCACACATAATCAGCAACGTGCTGCTTCATTTGCAACTAACGTTATGATTATACAGCAAAATATATCAGCAATCAGTAATATATTCATCTCTACGCCCTGAAACAGCAAAGAAAGCGAGTTTTCTTGAACTAATTTCAAGACATTTACTAAATTTCACAACCAAAATGTAGTAAGTGACCGATTTGATACAAAAAAACCATTAAGCAACCAAATCACATAGAAACGATACAGGGAAACTAGGTCAAACCACACAATCAATAAGATCTATCACTATATACCACTAAACACGNCATTTACTAAATTTCACAACCAAAATGTAGTAAGTGACCGATTTGATACAAAAAAACCATTAAGCAACCAAATCACATAGAAACGATACAGGGAAACTAGGTCAAACCACACAATCAATACACACACACACACACACAAACATATGAATAGCTTACCTTTAGGAAATCTTCGGGGGCGACACCCGGGAGGTAGAAGCAGAATCCATGGGTGACGAGAAGAAGAGAGCCACAGATCCACAGTTGAAATGATACGACAGGCCTTCCAACGTCCATTGCTTACACTAATCAAAGATCTGGATCAAATCTCTCCCTCTCCCTCCAAAACTTTCTCTCTCTAGATTTATATACATACACCTACATATAACTCTCTGGTTTAATAGCACAGGAAGAACGACAAAAACAGAGAGCGCGACGGGGAGTGCTACANGACGAGAAGAAGAGAGCCACAGATCCACAGTTGAAATGATACGACAGGCCTTCCAACCTCCATTGCTTACACTAATCAAAGATCTGGATCAAATCTCTCCCTCTCCCTCCAAAACTTTCTCTCTCTAGATTTATATGCATACACCTACATATAACTCTCTGGTTTAATAGCACAGGAAGAACGACAAAAAGAGAGAGCGCGACGGGGAGTGCTACAGTGTGTGTAACTCGATCTTGACCGTTAGATTCTATAGTACTGTGATTAGCGGCTGAGATTAGATCGTAGATAGTTGAAGGTGGTTATCATTTCCATTTTAATGCACAAAACTAAAACTTATGGTGAGACAAATAAATAGTTTGGTGGGATGAAATTACCTCGGGTGTTATTATTTTGAGATATAAATTCAATTTTTCAAGATATCGGAATCCGCAAGGAATGATAGGACAGAGAATAAGAATTTAAAGTTGTTCGTCGGATGAGACCGAGAATCGAAAGATGTGTATTAAAGAACGAAAATGACTGACTACATCGCTATCAACCAATTTTANAAATTACCTCGGGTGTTATTATTTTGAGATATAAATTCAATTTTTCAAGATATCGGACTCCGCAAGGAATGATAGGACAGAGAATAAGAATTTAAAGTTGTTCGTCGGATGAGACCGATAATCGAAAGATGTGTATTAAAGAACGAAAATGACTGACTACATCGCTATCAACTAATTTTTAAGATTACAAAACCAAAAATTTTGTGAGATTTTTATGTCAAGAAAATTGTTCATAATATGCTATCATCAATTATCAAAACTTTTAAAATACATAATTTCCCTTGCCTAACTTATCAAAATAATTAAAGATCGATATTTTCTATTAAATTCTTGAATTCGTCCTTGATTAAAAACGTATTGTCCTNAAAATTGTTCATAATATGCTATCATCAATTATCAAAACTTTTAAAATACATAATTTCACTTGCCTAACTTATCAAAATAATTAAAGATCGATATTTTCTATTAAATTCTCGAATTCGTCCTTGATTAAAAACGTATTATCCANACTTATCAAAATAATTAAAGATCGATATTTTCTATTAAATTCTTGAATTCGTCCTTGATTAAAAACGTATTGTCCTAGAGTATACCTAGAATCACACATGTTTCAAATTAATATTTAATATTTGTTCGTTAGAGAAGTATTTTCATGCTAATATTTAATATTTATGGGTTAGAGTAGCATTTGGACTTTGAAGCAAGCAAGAGACCTAAGCAAATAAACAACCAACCTTGACCTGAGCTTGCTTGGCAAATAAATTTGTGTCAACTTGGATATAGACCACCCACAGGTTTATCACACCCAGATGCCACAAATCCCAATTGTGCATGCATTTATCCAATGATAGGTCCCCGTCAATAGATTGGATATAAACTAGATCGTACTATCACTAATCCCATTCGAAGAGAATTTTTTTTAATTTGATATGTTTATTGGATGGATTCAAAAAATAATATATGAACATTCATTTTTATCTTGTCCAATCCAACATTATTTATATTGGTGTTGCCACCACTACATTTATAGGCAATTTTCTTTTTTTCGAGTGTTTCTTTTAGGGTTGAGGGGAGAGAAAGAAAATAATCTAGCATGGCCAATGACACCTAAAAAAGGACGTACTCAATATACGAGATTCATTTCATTATAGAGTCTAAGAAGAGTTATACATTGATGATGGTAAGATTTTGGCTTGGGCTGCCCATCCAAAACTCAAAGCATCCAATTGGCCCCCTGATTATATGGCAGCCCAAACGGCCCTTCCGCAGCATGCCCACCCCGCAATGAGGATATGCCACAACCTAAAGAAAAGAGTCTAACGACGCTCAGATCGATATGTTCCTGCTTGGTCACATCAAGCTCGACGAAAATCAGCCCAGGAACAAGGAGCTCAATATTTGTTAGATCTTAAGCATCTCCGGTCATGCCATGTGTCTAGGGGACAGAGCAACAGCTTCTGGAGCCCCTAACGAATACGTACTCCCTGAGAAAAGGAATATTTGTGCACATTCCATTTAAGGATCGTGGGCACGATTTGCGTCAGGATGACAGACATCACTACAAGACAAAGAAAAAGAGGACCATAGAATCAGCTAAGGGAAGGAAGGAATCGCAGGAAACCCTAGATGATTACTTGTATAAATAGAACACAGATACACTGTAGAGGGGGGTTCCAGAAAATTATATTCAAAGACACTGTATACAAAGACTCTAAGTTAAGAAACCCATTGTAATCTTTTTCTTCAAGTAATATAAATCCCAAGGAGCAAGAATTTCTATTGTAGTGGATGTAGCCTTAGTCCTTCGGCTAAGGTGAATCACTTATATACGATTTTTGGTCTNTTCCAGAAAATTATATTCAAAGACACTGTATACAAAGACTCTAAGTTAAGAAACCCACTGTAATCTTTTTCTTCAAGCAATATAAATCCCAAGGAGCAAGAGTTTCTATTGTAGTGGATGTAGCCTTAGTCCTTCGGCTAAGGTGAATCACTTATATACGGTTTTTGGTCCAACTTCATTTGTTACTTCTTTATTAACCTAAATATTCACATCACCCTCCATTGGATCTCATAACCAATGTTCTGCACTTGGGCCAAGTAATTTCAAGCACCATCAACTTGGTGCTGTCTGTGGGAATGATTTTCATCGTTTCCTTCTAGTTTTCTTTATACATCTGTTGGTTTGATGGTCTTGGCTCAAAACATGAGAAAGTCTCACGTAAACCCCCAAGTCCCGCAGAATCTACCAAAGAGTTTCCCCGCCCCAATAGCGAACATTGAAAACTACCCTTCGATGGTAGACCTTTCNCCGCAGAATCTACCAAAGAGTTTCCCCGCCCCAATAGCGAACATTGAAAACTACCCTCCGATGGTAGACCCTTANGGAATGATTTTCATCGTTTCCTTCTAGTTTTCTTTATACATCTGTTGGTTTGATGGTCTTGGCTCAAAACATGAGAAAGTCTCACGTAAACCCCCAAGTCCCGCAGAATCTACCAAAGAGTTTCCCCGCCCCAATAGCGAACATTGAAAACTACCCTTCGATGGTAGACCTTTCTCATCTCAACGAGTTGGAGACATATCACCAAACCACTATGCAACTTATGAAGCAAAATCAAGACTTGGTGATGTGGATATAGGCGCACCACCTCCCACGGGTTCCACTTGTACAGCCCGCACCACCTCCGCCTCCAACCCAAAGTGATATTCCTCATCAAGATTCTCATATACCACCTAATGGAGTTATAGATCTCCATGAGCACAGCCATTCNGTGGATATAGGCGCACCACCTCCCACGGGTTCCACTTGTACAGCCCGCACCACCTCCACCTCCAACCCAAAGTGATATTCCTCATCAAGATTCTCATATACCACCTAATGGAGTGATAGATCTCCATGAGCACAACCATTATGGGGAGAACCAACGGCGGAGGCAGTCAGATGAATACATAGATGATAAGGCCCATAGTGAGGCTAGAGCCATGCCCAGATAAGACTAGCCCTTGCCTTTGCAAGATACTATGGATCAATTTTGGGAGCAAAGATTCTGCGAGGTGCAACAGGAGCTCGAGAACGTGAAGGAAGTAGTAAAAAGGAAAGCTCTTGTCACCATGGATGCCTTGATTCAACAAACTGAATCTCCTTTCACCATTGAGATCCTTCATTTTCCCCTGCCCTAGAAGTTTTGAATGCCATAGATAGAGGCGTCCAATGGGACCAAGGATCCAGCGTATCACCTAAACTCATATAAAAATCAAATGGAGCTTCATGGGTATCCGGACCCTATTTATTGTCGAGATTTTGGCATAACCCTTAAAGGGTCTGCGATAGCTTGGTTTAACATATTGCAACCATCCTCGATCTCTTCTTTTTGAGAACTACGAATACAGTTCGTATCTCATTTCATAGGAGCGAGGACTTATAGGAAATCATCTTTTCATCTGTTGAGCATCAGACAAGGACCCAATGAGTCCCTCGAAGCTATGTGCAACGGTTCAACCAGGAATCTTTGAAGGTAGAAAGTATAAATGACAAATTCATCCTGACCACTTTCATGTTAGGACTCGGCCTCCAATCAAAGGACCTCCTATTTTCGATTGCCAAGAACCCTTAGGCAACTATAGTCGAGGTGCTTGTAAAGGTTGAGAAGTACATAAATAGCAAGGAAGCCCTTCGCTTAAAGAAAGGATCATTATCTATAGGCTAATGAGAGAAGAAGAAGAGAGAGTGCAGTCCGAGAAAAGAAAGGAGACGTGATCGATCCCCGTAGAGAGATCAATCTCCTAGAAAAGACACAGAGTCTCCCCCAAAAAGGAGGGCTAATTTCAGGGATCACCTCGGTCCTCCGCCTTAGGAATTACAACCAAGATATGGACCATCTCAGCTTACACCCCTAAATGCCTCCATTTCTCAGGTCCTCCATGAGGTCCAGAACAAGAGGTTTGTTAGGTGGCCACCATAGATGAAGTATGATCCAAGGAGACGTGACCCCACTAAATACTACAACTTCCACAAAGATACAGGTCATGAGACTGACGACTGCATTCAATTGAAAAATGAAATAGAATACATAATCTAGAGGGGCCATTTACGGAACTATGTGGCAAGAGAAGGAAGAGAGCGGAATGATTGAGAGAGAGACGATCTAGTTGCCATGCCACCCCCGCAACAGCACTAATAGGCTCTTGGGGAAATCAGGGTCATCTCAGGCGACTTTGCGGGCGNACTATGTGGCAAGAGAAGGAAGAGAGCGGAATGATTGAGAGAGAGACGATCTAGTTGCCATGCCACCCCTGTAACAACACTAATAGGCTCTTGGGGAAATCAGGGTCATCTCAGGCGACTTTGCGGGCGGAGGTGAGTCCAGCTTAGACCTGTCAAAATTCGACATGA